TTTTTTTTTTTTTTTTTTTTTTTTTTTTTTTTTTTTTTTTTTTTTTTTTTTTTTTTTTTTTGCTATAGGGCATGCGTGCTCACCAGAGAGACACAGAGACAGACAAAGGGCAAAGGGGGAGTGAGAAGGTAAGCTGCTAGGTCCAGGACTCGAACCAGGGTCGGCCATGTGGGAGTCCAGCACCCCAACCACTATACCCCATGCCACCTCTGGCCCCTCGCACAAGGTTTTTTTTGTTTTGTTTTGTTTTTCATTTTTTTCCTTTTTGATTTGAAACCTTTTCATTTTTGTTTCTGTCTTGCTAGAGGACTTATGAGCTCACCAGAGAAACAGAAAGGAAACAGGAGAAAGCACCACCCCTCAATAGGGTGTGGTCACGTCACAATCCATTCTTATTCATTTCCCGGTCCTGTTAGAATTTCTGGAATGTACGTACGCATACTTAATACATTTCTCAAGCTGCAAGGACCAGAATTTAAACCATATGGTTGGCTATGTGGGATCAAACTCCCTTAACTACATGGCCATGAAGTTACTTTTTTTTTTTTAATTATTTATTATTTATTTATTTATTTATTTATTCTTCAATTTGACCAGAGAGAGAGAGGGAGAATGAGAAGGCAAGCCACCAGGTCTGGGACTTGAACCATGCATGGTCAGCCATGTGGGAGTCCAGCACCTTAACCACCATGCCATCTGCCGGCCCTAGCTGTTCATTTACTAATTTTTTGTTTATAATTACTTTTTTCCCACTCATTTCATGAGAGAGACATCACCCCCAATGAGGTCTTGATCCCACGACCCACAATCTACCCTCAGCTGGGTACACATGGATGTGAACCAAAAACCTTCCCATGTGTGTCTGCTTTGCAGAGCATTGTATTTTACCACTGTGCCACCGCTGACCTCTACCACATGTGATTTCGTCCTCTCCCCACCCCCAGCTACTACTTTAGGAGGCCCTAAGCAGCACTGGGTACTTGGTTCCCCACTGTGGGACCTGGTTCATGAAATGCTCTTCATGCCGAGCACACCCAGGTCTCCCCTCCTGTCCCTGCTCCGGCTGTCCTGTGTACCTCCCACCCCAGAAATGCCCGGAGGCTTGTTGGCTCCCCCATCTCCTGCTCAGCTCT